AGTCCTTTGATACCACACAGAAAACAGACCAAGAAGCACCAAGAAGGATGGAAGGAAGTGAGTTCCTATTTATTTTCCCTATTTATTTTTAGCAACTGTACACTTTTTTTTTCTTTGTGGGGGTCCTCATGAAGCTTGGAGGACAGTTGTCCCCAGCTTCTGAAGTCACCCAAGTTCCTATCATTACTCCCATCTGTACCATGGGTGAAGTATTAATCCTATTTATACCTCAGCCTCCTTCTGTCTCAAAGGAATAATTATGGCACCTACCTCCTAGAGTATAGAAAAGAGTTGGCAATGAACTGTTACTGTTTTGTGTTGAGTACACAAGGTGTCACAACGCGGAGAAATGACGTATGCTTTTAAAGATGCCACTAATTGCACTGTAATGGTTCCAGTGTCTTTCCTCCTGTCTTCTGTTTCCCTGGCAATCACATAGGAATCCATTCATGCTCTGGATAAGATGAAGGAGTTAGAATATAGTAGAATGCCTAGACAAGTCACTTTGGGGGTTTCAGGAAGACCCCTCCAAAAAACCCACGGTGTTACAAGGAAAGCCCTTTTTCTCTACAGAGCTCTCTTGGGATGCTCACGGGCGGGGCTGCTGCCTGCTAGAGCTGGCTTTGCTTCGGTGATCTTCTCATCTATAAGACAGGCAGGCGGCTGGCTGCTAGAAAGCATTTGCAAAGGGACACAATGTTTTCCTCTGCAGCTGTGATGTGAGTGGCATCAAAGCTACTAAGTCAGAAAGCAGCCTAACATTATCTTTGAGGCCTCTGCCTCCCTGTGGGCATCGTCAGCCTTAGATACGTGTAAATCATAACCAGGACTCAGTAAACAGAGGGGACCCCCCCACCAGAGTGAGACCTGCCTGCCACCCCTGTGATACAGGCTCAGGGTGAGCTTGGCAGAGGTCAGCTTCCTCCTGGTCAGTGACCAGAACAACAGAGTCACTGTGAATCTGCTAATGAGTAGACAGCAACCAGGGGACCCAATTCACTGCAGGGGAAGAAGGGTGTTAATCACGGAGCCGCCGAGACAGCTATTGGCCAGTAATGAGATGAAAAGATGTGAACAAGATCTTTCAAATGCTTGTGAGGACGGGGAAAATCCCTGTCCCCAAATGGAAGAAGCGTCTTGCCCACATTTCTGTCTGTCCCCTAGGCAGATTTACTAGTAATTCTCTTCGCCATTCAAACCACTTGCACTCTGCCTCACAAACATCCATGCAAATTCAGCCTCATTGTTTTCTTTTTTTTTCCCCTGCCTGTCTGCACTATATTGAAGTCTCTAGAAATTAATATTCTATTTCCAGGTCAATGATTTTGTTGTTGTCGTCATTTCTTTTTAACATCACATCTAAGAGGGGATGTGGGGGGCATTTGGGCTTAGCTTATTCTGCTTAACACAATGTCTTCTAACAGTCTCCACTGAGTTTCGAGTAACAGTATTTTGTTTTTCTTTGTAGCTGAATAATATTCCATTACCGGGTCTTCTGGGTCATTTCAGCTGTTGACAAGCACTCACACTCGTGGCTGATTCCATAGCCTGACTGTTGAGACTTGTGCTCCGATAAACATGGCATGTGCATTTCTTCATTAACTGAGTTTTTCTCCTAAGGTTGCACTCTCTGTCAGTCTTTGACTCTGGTAGCCAACTGTGCTCACAGATATAAAGATCTATGGCAGGCCAAGGGGAACCTGGAGCCTGTGTCACTGCTTTGAAAGGAGAGAGCCCAGCCTACCACGAGGCAGCCTATAGCAGGGTGTGGTCTGGGTGTGTGCTGGGGGGGGTACCCTCTAAACACTTTCCTTTTCCTTGTTACTGAGATAGAAGACATCTTCTCCCATCTCTTGGTTAGGGAATAGGAGTGTACCATGGCTGAGAGTCTCACCAGATCCTCTCCAGTGAGGAAAGAGGAACACGGGAGTTCTGGCCTTAGAAGACGGGGGAAGACTACTCAGGGGCAGTCCCACAATGCTCACCTCCACCCCACCCCACCCTGGGACTGTGGGTGGGGCCCACCTGAGAGCAGAATAGGCTGCGCACATGCACAAGGCTTCTCCAGCTGTCTCCCAGTCTCCTCAGTACAAGTCACTGTTGACTGACTCCCTTGTAGTCAAAGCCGGGACAAGCATGTCCCTGCCTTTGTCCTTGTGGCAACACTGCCCACTTAGCCACAACACAGGACCTACCAGACTGGAAGAGAAGATCAAAATCTGATCTGACCTTGACCTTCACACCAAAGGTGGCCTCTTTTGGAAACCTGTAAAAGCTGAGGGATGTCACGTGACAGTGAGATGACAATGTGGGGAGGCATTTGGAGAAGGATGGGACTGCGTCCGTGTGCTGTGGCAACACCCTTAGATGAGATCCAAAGACCATGCAAATGGCTCATCTCTTTCTTGAAGGGTCAGCTTTCGGTGACCTCAGCCTTGACATTCAAGGACTTCAGATTTATACTTTTGAGATGGCTATGAAAGGAAGGTTTTGTCAAAATCCCAGAGGTCAAAATAAGTGCTCCCTTCCTTTCATTACTTCTGTCAAGGTATTTTATCATAGCAACAGAAAAGTAACTAAGACAGCAGGGCTGTACATAGAGGATGCTCTCCAGAGCTGAAAATGTTCCCTAACCCCTGCGGTGTCTCTGGGTATTGAACTGTGTGAGCCTCGAGCAAGTTCTTAAACAGCTCTACTGCAGATTCACCATTGGAGAAACGGAGGAATAAGACTTAGCTTATACTTACGGCTGATGATACGTATCGCGTGACAATGAACCCATGCTTCATGTAAGTGGCCAAGAGGCAACTAACGATATGATAACTGTAACACGTTTACTTTTTTATTACTAATTAACATATGCCACTTACCGGAACTGGAAAGCACCCCTGGACTGTGTATTTGCTTCCCGTTTAACTCAATGTTCTGTTTCCAGAACACAGTCCGTGTCACCAAGGTTAAGAAATAAAACTGACCTGAAAAAGCAGGAGAAAACTCCTGTGATCTCTTTTGTTTGGCCATTTCGTATTTATAAAGCACCTACTGTGTGATGGGTGTCAAACGACTGTTCTATGACTCACAGTGTGTACCCACCAGGAAAAGAGCCTGTTTATACACTTAAATTAGGGCTGGCTTGTGGTGGGGCGCTGTCTCAGCATGCATGAGGCCCTGAGTTCCATTCCCCTAATTGCAGAAATAAAACTGAAACAAAATAGAACTTAGAGAATTTGAGGCTACTAGAAAGAAACAGTCGGTTTTGCTGGAGCACTGGGGTTGGATTCTGGGATCCACAATTCTTTTCGTCATTCATTCAGAACAATTGTAGCTATTTAGGGGGTCTAGTGTGATATTGTAGCTATTTAGGGGATCTAGTGTGATATTGTAGCTATTTAGGGGATCTAGTGTGATATTTGTTGGCCATGGATTGCCTCATTTGTTATTTCTTTGTGAGAACATGGCAGAGGGCAGAGTTTTAGGGGGCAGGAAGTAGGAGTGAGGAGGCGTTCGGGGTGATGAGCTTGCAAGTGCAAAGATGCAGACGTGTGAACACTCCTAAGAACCGCAAAATTACAGCTCTGGCTGGAAGGAAAAGTTGGGTGCCGATGACACCCTGTCAGACACCTTCCTTGTGAAAGCGGAAGCAATTCTTTTAGCTGCTGGCGTGACTGCCTTTACATAACGCCTTATAATAAAGACTCTCTTAGATATTATCTGATTGTCCCCCTTTCTCTTGCTAACCCCGAGGGTGAGAAAATCATAGCAATGACATTTGCTTGGTGGGGAGCAGAGAAATCTAATTTGATGTTTTTCCATGTCAACCCACCACAAGTCACAGAAGCGGTGTAAGCACCCAGATCCATGCCCCCCGCCCCGTATTTCCTTTTTTAACTGTCTATGTGTACATACGCTTTCTCTCTAGAGGTGGTGTGCACAGCCAGTAGCCTGCTTTCTCTCTGTTTCACATAAAGCAAATTTGCTTCCCTGGAATATTCTTTCTTCTCATCTTTCACAA